GCCGCGTAGGGCCGCGCGCCCCGGCCCGGAGCCGTCAGCCTAGCCCAACCGGTCTGGCCGGCGCGGCGGGCACATTCCGGCGGCGGGGAGGGGCGCGGGGCATAAAAGGCACCGCCGTACGAACGTAGCCGCCGGGACGCGCTGGGCTCAGCTCACCGGGACCCGACCAGAGCTCCTTGCGTCCGCTCGGCTCAGGGCGGAGGCGCAGACGGCGACAGCCGGGCATGGGGTGCAGCGCCGTCGGCGAGGGGCGCAGACCCGTCCCCCCCCCGGGCGACCTGACCTCGGGCGGCCTGACCTCGGGCGGCCCGACCTTGGGCGGCGGGCTTCTCTTCACAGCGGGCGGCGAGGACGCCCGGACTCGCGCGCTGGGTCCAGTGGTTCTTAACAGTTCAACAGTTCTGTAGCACAATTGTGAAATGTTTAGGACCACTAGACCCGGCGGGCCTGGCGGCGGCGACGACACAGCGACAGTGCCGAGGACAGCGCGGCGTCCCATGCGCGGCCCGGGGTCAAGGGTCTGGGCGCGCCAGGAACCGCCCGGAGGAACCCCCTGGCCCGGCTGAGCCACCCCAACCCCGGCGGGTCTGCGCCAGGCAGTCCCCGGGGACCCGGGCCGGAGACTCGGCCGGAGGACCGGCCGCGGTGGGAGGCGGCCGGGCGTGGCCGTGCCAAGCGCCAGGACGGGGTGGGGGTGCGCCGGGCTGTCCCCGCTGCCGGGCGCCTTGCAGGCCGGGAGATGCCACGGCCGCCTGCGTCTCGCGCCCGAAGGCTCCCCCCTTCTCGAAACTCCTCGAGAACTTTTGGGCGGGACTGGCGGTAGGCACCGCGGGCGGGGAGCGCCCCTGGCCTGGCTTCCTGCGTGCTGGTGACTAGGGAGCGTGGCCGAGCCCTCCTTACCCGGGCTCCGCGCTCCTACGGGGGCTGAGCTGGAAGGACCAGCAGTCTAGGAGTGGGTGCTGACGGAATGAGTGACCCCCTGACAGGAGCACGTGGGGAGGAGGTGTGGAGGCCACGCCCGGCGGGTGGTGGGGGGAGCTGCCGACTGTCTGAGGCTGCTGCCCTTCTTACCAGGCTCGTTAGGTGGCTGTTGGAAGCACTGACCGACAGGTCTGCGCAGCGGCTAGGAACCTCTGTGTGAAGCCCTTCGGCCCCTGTCAGGCTCAGCGAAGGGTCAGTTCCATGTCCACCCTCCAGCCAGGGCCAGGTGGCCTCTGCCTCCAGGCAGCCTGGGCGTGTGGCTGGCCTGCTGGAGCCTGCCTGCCTGCTGGCCTGACCTCCCTTTGCAGCAAGAGGACCTCAGGGCCAGTGTTTAGAGGAGCTGCTGGTGCAGCCTGGGGTCGGGGGGTGGTGGTCAGACAGGCCCCGGGTTGAAGCCCACTAGGGCACTGCTGGTGGGGTGGCCTGGGCCAGTCCCCTGGCTCTGAGCCCCACCTACATGTGAGGGGGTACAACTTCCTTCACAGGGCTGAGGGTGAGGCGACCGTGGGGGTCGGACCAGGAGCCCCGGCTGCAGGCCCCTCTGCTGCCTGGGGAGGGGCTGTGTTCCCTGAGGCGTGGCCTCCCTCCTGCCGGCAACTTCTCCTTGTCTGGAAAACTCCAGGGGCCCCTCTCCGGCCCTGGGCAGGCATAGCTGTGCTGGGTCGGTGGTGCTCGGAGGGTGGCGGGGGTCCTACCTGCACCCCCCCCCCCCGTGGCCATTGTATCGCGTATGTTGCTTATGTCGCCTGCCTCGTCCCGAAGCTCAGGGAGAGAGGCCCCCTGCTGGGCTCAGGTGGGTCATTGTTTCCGATTCTGTAACTTTGATTCATTCTGTAGTTGTGAACATATACATTGTAGGTAGACAATCAATAAACTTGTTCCAAAGCCTGGCTGAGTCCCTGGGCTGCTGTGCCCCCTCCCTCAGAAACAAACCACCCTTTGTTTTTAAGCCCAGAGGAGTTGGGGGCCGTGGGTGGGGAGTGGCCGGGCCCTCCCCCAGGGCCTGGCCTCCAGCCTCAGCCCTGCGTCTGGCCCTTTGGTCTCCCTGGAAGCCCCAGCCCCTGCCTCCAGCCCTCTCAGTCTGCCAGGGGATAAGGGGCCCAGTAATCCCTCCCCCACCTCCCCGAGCAGGCCCTGGTTTGGGCTGCAGCTGCCTTGAGGGGCCCAGTAGGGAGAGGGCTTGGCCCCACCCACGCCAGACTGGAGGCTGAGGGCTGGCCTCGGGACCTGGCCACAGGAGAGGCAAAGTCGGAGGGCTGACGGGTTGGAAGGACAGACTGAGAGTCGTGGGTTCAAATCCCAGCAAGTGAGCTGGGGCACGTTCCTGTCTGACACTCCCAGCACCCATGTCTTCCTCTTGTAAAGCGGGGTGGTGTGCCTGCCCCCAGGGCTCATGGGGGGTTCAGACGATGAGGGGACCCATGAATGCCGAGCTGGGTGGGGGGCCCTGCTATAACACAGTGGGCAGGTCTGGGGTGCCCTGAGGAACCATGTATCAGTTGGGCGTGGAGAATGAGTGGAAGGCCCAGGTGGCAGTGGGGTGGGTCCCTGTCCTTACTGACACCCCCAAAACCCTCCACCCCAACCTATGCTCTCTCCTCCCCTCCACACGGGGTAGAGGGTGCCGAGGGTCTTCCTTACCCATTCTCTGCCTCTCGAGTAATGGAAGCCCCCAGTGGCAGCTGGGCACGGGTCCCTCGTCAGGGTTGACACTTCCCAGTCTCCTTGGTGTGGGCACACAGCTTGAGGCTGGCCGTGGGACATGAGCACAGGGCCGGGGCACGACTCAGAGCCCGCCTTTAGAGGGAGCTGCTGGTCCTCAGCTTCCTCGTCCTCTCCTGGGGCAGGCGGAGGACCGCACCCCTCGGCATGGCCGCGCGTCTGAGGCTGACCGACGCTCCTCATTTGCTCAGGACTTTCTGCCTTTAGCACTGAGAGCTTATGTCCTGGGAACCCCCTCGGTCCCAGGCAAACAGGGACAGTTGGTCCACCCTGGCCAAGCCAGGGAACACGCTGCCCTGCTTACCTGGACCGCCTGCCAGCCTGCCTTTTCCGCCGGAGAGCTGAACCCTCCATCTCTGCAAGCCCCTGTCTTCAGTGTCTACTAAAGGGGCTAAGCCAGTGCTCCAGGTGGGTCTCAGGCCTCAGGGTGGAGCTGACTCCCCGGGAGGGCCAGCGAAAGCCACGGAGGCCTGGGCTCGGCGAGGCTGGCGGGCGGGCCGAGGACTGCGTCTGCCCCGAGTCCCCGGTGGGGCTGAGAAATGCCCAGGTCTAAGAACGACCATCTGCAGTAGTACACCCGCAGAAGGGGGACGGGCCCCGGCCCTGGGGCGTTTGGAGCTGTCTTAGGCCGCTAAAGGAGTCCCTGCGTGGTGCAAACAGTTAAGTGCTTGACTACTATCTGAAAGATTGGCAGTTTGAACCCACCCAGAGGCACCTCAGAAGAAAGGCCTGGCAGTCTGTTTCCAAAAGATTACAGCCTTGAAAACCCTATGGAGCAGATCTACTCTGCACACGTGGGGTAGCCATCAATCAAAATCAACTCAGCGGCCACTAACAACAGTCCACTAACCTCCAGGGGAGGGGGAGCCCAGAGCAGACACTGCCTCTCAGCCTCTCTGTCCACCAGGGGAGCCAGCCAGCCTGAAGCGGGGGCACGGCATCCAAGCCCAAGCCCCCTGTCTTAGTCATCTAGTGCTGCTAGAACAGCAATACCACAAGTGGATAGCTTTAACAAGGAGAGATTTATTCTCTCACAGTCTAGAAGGCTAGAAGTCCGAATTCAGAGCGCTAGCTCCAGGGGAAGGCTTTCTCTGTCTGTCGGCTCTGGGGGTAGGTCCTTGTCATCAATCTGGTCTAAGAGCTTCTCAACGCGGGGACCCTGGGTCCAGAGGATGCACTCTGCTCCTGGCTCTGCTTTCTTGGTGATAGGAAGTCCAGCTCTCTGCTCGCTTCTTTTATGTTGCAAAAGAGATTGACTCAAAATAAACCTAATCCTGTAGCTTGAGTCCTGCCTCATTAACATAACTGCCTCTGATCCTGCCTCATTAACATCGTGGAACCCAAACCCAACCCGTTGCTGTCGAGTTAATTCCGACTCATAGTGACCCCATCACAGAGGTTAGGATTTACAACACCTAGGGTAATCACATCAGATCACAAAATGGTGACAGCCACACCATACTGGGAATCATGGCCTAGCCAAGTTGATACACATTTTTGGGGGACAGAATTCCATCCATAGCACCCTCCTTGCACAGGTAATGAGACTGAGGCCCACCCTGGGCGGGGGCTTATGTCAGGCTAACGGAGTCTAATTGTAGACAAGCCTGTAGTTAAGACTGATCCGAGACAAAAGGAAGGACGGTGACAGAGGTGAGCCGTGAGCTGCGAGCACAGCTCTAACTGATCTCCGGTGTCTCAGGTGTGAGAAGCGCTGGGCAGCTGCTACGGGCTTTGTGAGCCTCTGCCAGTGGTTCTGAGAGGCTGTCAGGGGACACAGATGAATTAGGGGGCACACGTC